TTCTGTTTATGAGATTTTAAATGTAGAATCCATTATATTACCACAGGCTGTTTTTTCTGTTTTTTGTTGGTTGGTTTTTGGGTTTTTTTCTTTTTCTTTTCTTTTTTTTTTGGAAGGGTTGGGGGAAAGATACCAGAGTATTATGAAATGCTTCCTATGCTAATTCAAATTCAGGGGGGCTTTCCCTTAAATTCAGGTGTTCTAAGATTTCTTTCAATTTATTTGAAATTTATTTTGATTTTCAGTGAATATTTGCTTTAATAGGGGTAAAACTACTAATGAAAAGATATAAGCAAGTTTTTTAAAGATTTTTTTTTTAACTTCATGTTTATTCAAAGATCTTTTTTTTTCCTAGTATAATATACTCTTGCAGTTCTTGAAATTTTAATTGAAAAGCATTATTGATAGTTGTTGTGTTCTGATGTTTGTAGACTCACTCTTTAGTTTGTCTCTTGTTGCTGTAATATCTGTTGGTTCACGCAGCATGTCTCCATGATGTTTGTATCTATGTATATTAGCTTGTGTGGACCAATGTACAAATGTAAGGACTCCTTAAAATAAAACCCAAGCTGGGGTGTTGTATCAGTCTTGTCTTCTTTGCCTCCCTTCAGGGCTTTGGTGGTTGAGTTTCAGTATGTCTTTGCAGCAAAGTGAGACGAAGTTACTTTCTTTTAGCTGCTCTTACTTCTGACTTGTGTTTTCACTGTAGGGCACTGTCATTACTGCATTATTACCGCTTCAGTGTGGCTGAAGAAAATACTAATTCCGTACTGCAGTTACTTGTAATTGTGCCAGGGCAGGAAGGTCCATGTTCCCTTCTGCCAGCTCTTGTGCAGGTGGGTGCAGTAGGCTGATGGAGATCATCAGATCTTAGGCTACTGCTGCAGCACAATAACAAATTACTATTTTTATTCTATTCCCACTAAAATGAGAATTATTTCACTCTGTAATCATCTGAATTTTGAACATAGCTATTTTCAAGGCAATTACTTGTTGGTTTTCAATGTCTTTATATTTTGCCTTCATTCCCTTCAGTCTTTCCGTGTTCTTCTGCCATAGCCACTGCCTTGGCTGCCTGACTGTCACTCCTGATGCTGTTGAAACATAAAAGGGAGGGGCTTGTTGAGAGAGAAGGCTGCAACTGGTGGCATCTGGCAGCTTGATTGTGCTCAACTGATAGTTCATCCCGTCAGGGAAAAACAAACAAACAAACCAGGAATTAATTACAGTGCATCAGCAAGCACTTGGACTCAGAAATTTGGGAATAACTTGGACTTTATGCAGTCTTTTAAAAAGCTCACTACTTGCTCTAAGATTGTAGTGTGTTTTTTGAGTAGAATCCAGTCCCAGTTGAACACAAAATCATGTTTTGTTTTTTTTCCCTATGTGGAACAAAACCTCTACATTCATATTAGAAATACATTGTGGTGCTGGACAGAGCCACAGATCCTAGTGGTTAAACTTGAAACAGTGGTCTTGACTTCATGCAGATGCTCACAGTAGTGTGGTACTTTCTTAAGTGCTGCAATGTTAACACTGGCTTCCCAAATCCCAGTTTAAGAGAAATCATATGCTTTTATAGCACTCACTGATGATGCTTGTTTGCTCCTGAGGAGCAGGTGAGCAGTATGGGTGGAGCAAGTCCTGCTCTGAGCTGGGGGATTGACAAGACCTCCAAGCATTCCTCTTAGACTAAGATTTTGGGGTTCTTTAAGATTTAATGGCACCCTTCACCTTCTGCACAGTAAAGACTACCATAGCGGACTAACAGAGGTACAAAATAAGTTTTAAACTATTTTAATTCCTGTAGTTTGATTGGTTGTTAGAAATTTACTTTCCTCTTTGTTGTCTTCTGACAAATACTTGTAAGAAACATGTTCAAGTAAAGCCTTTGCACAAAGTAGCTCAAATGCTTCTATCAACACCCCCTCTTAGGGCCCTCAGGTTCTGTTATCCATTCTGTCAGACATAAAAAAAGAATGTGCTTCTGTTTTTACAGTGTAAAATGCAAAAAGCAGGGATATTCATAGGATGTCTGTGCTCCCTCTCAGTTACAAGTATTGTCCAAGGAGACAGCTATCTCAAGATAACAGGTCCTATCTCTGAACAACAGGAGCAATACAGGATGTATATTTTTAAACAAGGCCAATTTCTCTGAAGGAATATAAGACTTAGAAACTATTAATAGCTGGGACACTTACCAGAGATCTTAGTCATAAAAATTGGCATTTTGTACCAATTCACTCTGCAAAGAAAACCCAAGTTTTCTTAAGATGCATTTATATTGGCAGTGATCTTTTTGAAGGCACTGCAGCAACAGCAAAACTTGATGGAAAAAATACTTTGCTTATGAAGGAATATTTAATTACAAATATCTGATTTCAGGAAAAAAAAGAAAAAGTTGGCTAGTTCTATTACGTGGTATGTGTAAAGATGAAGGTATTATTAAGGGTTGACAAAAGAAAAAACCTACATTTTAGCAACTTCTAATTTAATAGTTTTCTCTGTAGCTGCATTGAATGCTTGGAGATGCTGCCCTCTGCTCTATAGCTGTAAGACAAAAAGTAGAAGTGGAAACATTCCCTAGAAACAACTTTCTCCTTAACACTAAACTAAAAGCAAAAAGAACAGGGAAGGATATTTTCAAAACTGCAGTTTGAACACAGCACATTAAATACAGCCTTGGACATGTCTTTTTTGCAATTTTTTTTTTGTAGTGCCTTGCTGTTCTTGTACGTAATGAACCAAAACACGAAATACGGAAGTGTAGTGGATGTTAGGTGATCACTGCTTTTGTGAGGCAAGCACAAAAGACATTTTGCAGTATTGCACAATATTCTGCAGATGAAAGAGTGAGAAAAAAATCACCTTTCTGAATTTGTACAAGATCTGCAAAAGTCTGTCGCAGGGATCCAGAACCAGCAATCTCGTAAGTCAATGCATTTTCCTCAAAGCTGTAATCTACGCTGACAGGAATGCTTACTCATGGAAGTGTCACTTAATTTTATGTAGTTTAATGCAGAGCTATTTAAGGACTGATGTAATAATCTTATCAGAAGTGTGAGTGAATGAGTTTCCCTAATTTTTCACTGCCAGATGTGAAACAGACCAGATGATCTGCTGGGTGGGAAGCCACAGTCCTGGAAAGCCAACATGAGGCAAAGAAAAGGTTTCCCTTCATGTTTTCTTTATTGATATGCATGAAGAACACCTGAAAGGTCTTTTGTTTTTTTAAAATCTTTTAGCCTGGAGGGTGGAATTTAATATTATAAATCAAGTCTGTTTTCAACTCTTCGCCTAAGGATAACTGGAAAACAGATGGGATGCTTCAGAAATGGCAGAACTGTATCTTCAATTCAATTGCTAAAATAAGATACTGAGAGAGTCTCTCTCACACATTATTGTGTACAAATCCAGCTCTGTTTGATTAAACTGTTCCAGTTTTCCAGTTCAGAGACAGCCTGAGGAACACTTAGCAGTATCTTTGGCAGTGATTCAGCATCTCCTAAAAGGTGAATAAATGGATGTGTCTATTTCCATGTTGTTTGAAGGGGAAAAAAAACAACTTTTATTTATGCATCATTACAACAACAAGAAAACACAACTGAATTGTTTTTACTTTTAAGGTCACTTTTAACACTGATGCAACAATAAACATTAACTTTTCACATTATTTCTGCATGAAAATTAGGCACAAAATATTGGCAACATGGCAGAAAGATCTCTCTTCTCAAGGCATTGGGCATTCTCCTCCATCTTCTAAACACTTCTAAAAAACTATTTCAGAGAGCAGTGCATAAGTTAATACATAGTTAATTACAAACGCACACAGCAGAAATGAGACTTTCAATGAAGATATCAAGTAGAAAATCTTATCAGTATTTGGTATTTTCTAAAGAAAAGTATTTGTATTTCTTAAAGACATATTTTTAACATTCAATATTTATACTCATCATGAAATGAATAGACTAGAATTCAATTTCCACATATAGCATAAAAAACACTTCATAAGTACATTGTGTTGCATACACGCTGCGTTCGTATGGACAGATTTTTAAATTTATGGTAATAATTTACGATTGCCTGATGTTACTCCACGTAATTTCTCTGCTACAACATGCTTCCCACATCATCTTTCTTGTTTCTGCCACGCATGTGCAGAGGCTGGTCCAGTAATGCCTTCTGAAATACAGCACTGTTTTCCAGTCTGAACCTAAATGGAACCCAGTTCTCCACAAGCTTCACCATGTGTGCCAGTGGTTAGTATTATGACATAACATCACTTTTGGAGATGCCTCAGTTCTGAATGCTTAACTGTGCAAACTCATGGAACCAAATCTACCCCATTCTTACTCATCCATAAATGAGTAAGGAACTTTCAAGGGATGAACAGTCCTTCTCTAAAAGATGAACAAGCAATCAAATAAATACCCTCCTCCTGTCGCCAGCAACGTGTGTGACTGGGACTGGTTATTTCTGAGACACCCACTGAGCAATACGTGAGCAAGTAACTAAGCAAGTGTGACAGCTGTATCCATGTCAAACATTGTGTGGGTCACTGTGCACCAGGGTGCTACACATCTCAGGTTAGCAGAGCTGTGAGCACTGCGACTTTCAAGGCTTATATATTTTTTGTGGAGGAGTTAATTTTGACTACAGAGGAACAGGTTTGCTTCTTTGCTCATTCTGGTTACCTGTGGGAGTTTGGACAGAGAGTAGATTCTAGCAGATTTTCTATAATTTAGAAGTTGAAAAGAGTTGGTATCAAAAAATCATTTTAAGATTTAAATCTGTAGTTCTGGATATGCATTTTGTACAGTGTTGTTGAGTAGGGATGTAAACCATGTTATTTCCATATGTCGAAAATTTCCTTCTTCAAAAAATATATATTAGAACTTTTTTATATTTATATATGTTCTATATTTTTATATATTTATTTTTATATACTTTTATATTTTTACATCAAAAGGAATTTAAGAGATTGTATGTTTATCATTTACTTGAAATTGTCTTATAGTTAGGGCAAGACTAAACAACATCACTACTCATACAGTTATTCATTAGGCAACAGCACAGAGTGAATTTTGACAGAAACCAAAAGAAGGCAGATAACACCCACAGTATTTTTAGGAAAGGACACCTCATTTTGGTATACAGAAATTCAGGTTATACAGACAGCAATACAGATGGCTTTTTTGTTTGTTTGGTAAATATTAGCAAAAATACTAGCAAAAGAGAGCACATTAATACTTCTCAATCTTTAGAAGACAAGTTATTAAATGTTAGATTTGATGCCATAAATCAAGCATCTACAGAATATACACAAATGCAAGATAGATGTTTGGAACCACAAAATACCAAACAGGAAGGAAAAACACATCTTCGATAGAAACGATTAAAATATATATATGTGAGTTATCTTAGAGGCAAAGCATGTTTCTGACCTGTAACAAATTCATACTTTTGCTTCAAATTAGGCAGGATGAGGTCTTCCAGCTCCCAGGTGAATATCCCCATTGTTGGATTTTGTGTGTGTGTGTGTGTGCGCGTGTGTGTGAGAGTGTGTATGTGTGAGTGTGTGTGTGTGAGTGTGTGTGTGTGTTGAGAAGAAACACAGGTATGGGGAGGACAGGGTCCCATGTGTTCTGCCTGAAGCTGCAAGTAAAGGAGCCCCATGCTGACAGAGCCTTTACCTCCCCCACCATCCTTGTTTTAATCAGTGTACTCCAGCAGACAGCCTGAGAAGCCCATGTTGATGGACGTGGCTACCTAGTGCTGCAAGCAGGGTTTGGTCATTTTACTTGAGAAGTGACAGCACCACTCAGGCACTCTGCTGACCTCATGCCTCAATGCTGCACTGCTGTCAGATGCTGAATGCCCAGCTGCAGCGCTCTGAGGTCTGTGTAGTATGCTGATTCCCAGTGGGCACATCAAGCAGATTCCCAGTCTTCATCTGGAATTTCTCAAGTGAAGCTACGCATACAGCATAGCTCTGTAACATCTGTTTTCATTTATAGTCTGTGTATTGTCTGTTTACATGTAGTAAATCCACTGAAGCCAGAGGATGTTGCCTGTTGGCACCCACCACTGCCCACCCTTCAAGCACAGGCTCGTGTCTGGAATGTCTGGATATCACAAAACTCTAATGTCCAGCATCACAGTCAAATGTTCCAGGTTCCCAAATTCCATTTGTACAACTTGTCTGGGTGGAGAAACAAGGCAGTGTTTGGGGAAAACTTGCAACCTAGAAATGAAAACTGCATCACCTAATATTCTTCATAGATTCAGCCTGATGTGGGTAAGGCTTCAGTGCTAAAGCTGAAATTAAGAGAATATAATAAATATTCCTCAATCTGTAGAAAGCAACATCATTTAATTAATTAATTAGACAGTTAAGTATATCTTTTGATGTAGTACCTAAGCCATTTAATTCATTCTGAGGCTGAGAGCCCTACATCACAGATCTGCTATCTTTTCAGAAGCGTATCATTACAGTTAGGTTGAGCAGCAAGTCTGTACACATTGTAAACATTTTATAACTCTTCAATCTCCTGTCAAAAATTCACTAATTGCCTAATCTGCTCAGTCTGTAATGACTGCCTCCTTAGTAGCATTTCTGTATTTTAGGTCTTGCTAAGGGAAACAGGTGCTGCTGGCATTAAGTGTTTTTGCCCATAAGAAATCACCCTGGAAACCTTACGTAAGAAATTAACATCCGGAATCGGGGGCTGCGGATTCACATTGAGTGGTGGAAGAAAACCTGGTCTTGTCTGAGCAGTGTTATCCAACAGTAAGGCTCTTGAACCCTGTCTTTCTAGAAAAGTCTCATTTTTTCTGCTCATGGGAACAGAAGGTATTCTCTCCAGTAAATCTCTAGAACTTGGAAACAAAGAGTGAGTTGGAGAGACAGTCTTCTTCTTTACTATCACTGACTTACTGTCTTCTGCAGCAGCAGGATGTAGAGTAGTAGTTAACTGAGAATCAGAGCTGTAATAATTTGCTCCTAAGTTTCTTTTTTTTATAATACTGCTTAGGTTTGAAATTAAGCTGATTGGTCCCAGATTAGAATTCTCATCCTCACCCCCAAGGATCTCACTGGGAAGATTCTCCTCTTCACTATAACAAATCTGAGAGTTTATCTTCTCGTATAATTTCTTTGATCTACTTTGAGCAGCAGTTTTCAGTAAATTAGCAGTGTCTTTTATGTCAATACTTTGGTGTCTGGTAACAAACTTCTTTGATAAGGCAAAGCCATTGGCTTTAGAAGAGACCTTTTCTTCTGGAGTTATATTCTGAAGCTCTCCGTGTAAAGAGGAAACCTTACTCTGGTGAAACGATGAAGGAGAGCTCTTTACCCAAGGCTCCGACTGTAGTTGCTGCAAATGTGCCAGCCTGGATCCTATGTCTGATGAACTCGAATTTCTTGGTGAAACTGGCTGAGAATGGTCTGTACTTCTGGGATGATCCAGATCATTAAAGCTGAAGTGTGCCCTTTTAGTTCCATTTGAGCTTGAAAGTGGGGGTGATAATTTCAGTTCTATTTTGGATGGGGAAGTGCAGGAGGCTGGAAAGTGGCATACCTCAAGATCTGGAGGAGGCACATTTAAGTACTGTTTTGTTGTCTGCCTTCCTGATGGAGACTTTTCTGTTGTGATTATGATAACCTCCTTTCCTCTTGCTTTACAGGCGTTGAGAAGAATTTTCAGAGTCTCTCTGTCTTTAGAGTTTATTGCGTACACTAGCGCAGAGCAGTTAGAGTAATCTTGTAGGCTTGGGTCAGCTCCACTTTTCAGTAGCAAAGAAACCACCTCAGGCCCCGCTTTTTCTAGGCAAGCATGCATCAAGGCTGTCTTTCCAGATTTGTCCTGGATGTTTGGATCTGCCTTGTTTTCCAGTAGATATTTAACCATCTTTGCCTTGCTGACACCCTGAGAGTCCGAATGTTTTGTCTTACAGGCAATCATTAAGGGGGTTTCACCTCTATTATTACTTTCATTGACGTAGACTCCACCTTCCAACAACAGCCTGGTGAGGCGTAGTCGACTCTCATAGACAGCTTTGATCAGGGAGGTCCCTTCTGTTGGCAGCTCCACAGTCTGATTCATGGCACTTGTCTTTCACGTACACCTTTCTAGCTGCAGAAAATAACACCCAGTGCTCAAAGAAGGCAAGGAGGCCAAAAAAGAAAAAAGCAGAAAAAAAAAAAGGGGGGGGGGAAGGGAGAAAGATTAGCTATTTGAATTGCTCCTGTAAATTTGTCAACACTCCTTTAAGACAACAAAGGTGGGGAAAAAAAAAAAAAAAAAAAAAAAAGATATTCGCACCTCCTAGACTTCCAGAAACGCTTTTTTTTTTTTTTTTTAAACAATATTTAAAATATTTATAAATGCTTAAAATGTAGCTGTCACTATGTTTTCTCTTTCTCCATACTGTAACGGCTTTACACTGACTACAGCCAAGTGACTGCAGCTCTTGTAGCACTCCTGATTCGAAACACTGGAAGCAAGAACAAGAAGAACACTGCCGCATTTGTTTTCACTAAGTTCCTGCGAGTACCTGGGCCACTTCTATTTTTTCTTATCAAATGACAGTGCTAAACATCTACAAATTAGTGAGGAAAAAAACAGGTTACTGAGTCTTAATAAAGAAGAAAAGCACAAGCACATATTGTTTAGCTAAGAATTAACTTTTAAATAGTTGGAAGACTTCTATTATCTCTTTTATAAAAGTAAAGTAGTAACATTTGCAGAAGAACATTACCTTAGTTAGGGTGCTTGAAAAAAAGACTCACTAGTCTGAGTAAAACTGCACAAATGAAATGATGCCAAAGCTGCTGTGCTTGTGGAGCCGAGAGTAATCCACTGCCTGGGCAAAAAGCATCAGCTCTAAAAGAAAAAAAACATTCAATAGTATGAAGGAAAATCTGGAGATTTCATATGAAAAAAATAGGAGCTTAATGACATAAACAGTGGCTCAAGTGCACTCTCAGCAAGTCTGCTGATGACACCAAGCTGAGGGTTGCAGTCAACACGCCCAAGAGATAGGAACTCATCAAAAGACACCTGGACAGGCAGAGCTCATGAGGTTCAACAAATCCAAGTGCAAGATAATGCCTATGAGTCATGGCAACCCCCACTATCAGTACAAGCTGGGGGATGGAAGGATAGAGTAAAGCCCTGCCAATAAATGACTTGGGGGTACTGATGGATGGCAAGCTGGACATGGGCAGGCAATGTTCCCTCACAGCCCATAAAGCCAACTGTATCCTGGGCTGCATCAAAAGTAGCATGGCCAGCACCATAAGGAAGTTGATCCTGCTCTTCAGCTCTGTGCTGGTGAGACCTCAGCTGCAGTACTGTGTCCAGATGGGGAGTTCTCAGTACAGGAGAGACATGGACCTGCTGGAGCACGTTCAGAGGAGGGCTACAAAAATGATCCAAGGGATCACAGAATCGTGAGGGTTGGAAGGGACCTCCAGAGATCATTGAGTTCAACCACCCTGCCAAAGCAGATTCCCTACACCAGGATGCACAAGTAGTAGTCTAGGCAGGTCTTGAATATCTCCAGAGAAGGAGACTCCACAGCCTCCCTGGGCAGCCTGTTCCAGTGCTCCATCACCTTCACTGTAAAGAAGTTCTTGCGCACATTGGTGCGGAACTTCCTGTGCTCCAGTTTCTGGCTGTTTCCCTTTGTCCTGTCTCCACACACTGCTGAAAACAGTCTGGCCTCGCCACTCAGCCCCAACACCTTAGATATTGATAGACCTGGATCAGATCCCCTCTTAGTCTTCTTTTCTCAAGGCTAAACAGGTCCAGTTCAATTAGCCTTTCCTCATAGGGGAGATGCTCCAGGCCCTTCACCATCTTTGTGGCTCTCCGCTGGACACTTTCCAAGAGGTCCCTGTCTTTTTTGTATGGGGGAGCCCAGAACTGGACACAGTACTCCAGATGAGGCCTTACCAGGGCAGAGTAGAGGGGGAGGATCACCTCCCTCGACCTGCTGGCCACGCTCTTTTTAATGCACCCCAGAATCCCACTGGCTTTTTTGGCCACAAGGGCACACTGCTGGCTCATGGCCAACCTGTCATCCACCAGGACACCCAGGTCCCTCTCCACAGAGCTCCTCTCCAGCAGGTCATCCCCCAACCTGTACCGGTGCATGCGATTATTCCTCCCTAGGTGCAAGACTCTACACTTGTTTTTGTTAAACCTCATCTGGTTTCTTACTGCCCAGCTCTCCAGCCTGTCCAGGTCTTGCTGAATGGCAGCACAGCCTTCAGGCATGTCAGCCAATACTCCCAACTTGGTATCATCAGCAAACTTGCTGAGGGTGGCCACTATCCCCTCATCAAGATGAGGAACAAGACCGGGCTCAGCACCAACCCCTGAGGAACACCCCTCCTACGAGGACAGGGCTGTTCATCCTGGAGAAGACTCCAGAGAGACCTAGTAGTGACCTTTCAGTATCTAAAGGAAGGGGAGAGAAGAAAGAAAGGGACAGACTCCTTAGTGGTGTCAGTTGTGGTAGGGCAAGGGGAAATGGTTTTAAACTCAAAGAGAGCAGATTGAGGTTGGACGTAAGGAAGAAATTTGTGGGTTTTTCTTTTGTTTGCTTATTTTTACAGTGAGGGTAGTGAGACAGTGGAACAGGTTGCCCAGAGAGATGGTAGATGCTCCCCCATCCCTGAAGACATTCCAGGTCAGCCAGTACAGGGTTCCGAACACCTGATGGAGCTATAGGTGCCCCTGTTCATTGCAGAGGATTTGGACTAGATGGCCATTGATTCTAAATTACTTTTTGTTCAGAGAAAAGTCTTCAGAGACAAAAGAAAAATCAGTATTTAACAACTGGCAGAGCAATATGATTTCAAAACAAGAAGTGATATGAAACCAAATTTGTTTATTTACAATTTATTTCTAGAGAAGCAAAAATGTCAAATTAGTTTAATTGCAAATGAGATGAACACACTTATTTACCATAGGGAGTATTAGTAATATTCTGGTGAATAGCTGAGAAATAGTAACTTCATTCTGTTTTTCTCCAAAATTGGTGTTTTATGTTCAATTCTGAAGTCAAAAGACAGTATCAACGTACTCTTTTTTGTTCTAAAAGTCCAAGAAACAGCAACAAAAAATTTAGCTGAAATACATGTGACATGCTTACCTCAGCTCTTCCTTGCCATAGGTAGAGGTGCCTCTGTCCAGCTGTGACACACCAGGGCTCCTCTGCTGCAGTGAGAACAGTTAGTGAAGGGGCTTCATGCTTATTTCTCTGTCCAGTGCAAATATTGCACTGCTGATCACTGGTGAGAACAGAGATGCCACTGTGATAATATAATTTTCTTTCATTGGATTTTGTTCTTTTTAAAAAACTTTTTTTTTTGATAAAACTATATTTTAAAACAAATTGCACTGAAACTACTTTAAGGATTCATTCCATTATAATGAAGGTTCATGATGCAGTATTGTCTCTCTCAGCTTTTATTGATGTACAAACCGTTATTATGAAATACATATTTTTGAGGTGTAAAACACTCAAGATTATCATCAAATCTATATTAAAAAGAACTGTCCAATTAACTGGTACATTCAAGGTGTCAGGACACAAGTTAAAGAGAAACATCATTTAGATAGCACACTTGCTGGAGTTCTGACACAATCTCTCCTCATTTTTCAAATATCTGTAAGTCACCAGTGATTTTATGTATTTCTTTCAGACTTATCTTTTGGTACCTACCTGCTTGCATTACTTACGTGAAGGTACATAGCACTAACAGAAGTCTTTTCATCCACAGAAATTCTTTGGTTAGAAGAGCATTAAGTAACAGGCACAAGAGGAGAAGAATGCTACTCTGAGCCATTCAGCAAGAAAATGAGACTGTTTTTCTGTTATCTGACCAAATGCTACCACTTGCTTACAGGTCCTGTCTGCATATACTTCAACTGAACTATGAATTAAGTGAAGGTAGAGTAAGGCTAGCCTAAGCTAGTAGCGTTTAAATGTTTGGAGCAGGTTTTCTACTTGGAAGACCCTATTTTGCCATAGCAAAGGTAAGGTCACTTAAAGCTCAATTTCTAAATAACTTCTACTTACTTAATTAAACAGAGATCAGCAGCAGCCAGAAGAAGCATTGAGCCTCACTCATTCACACAATGAACAGATAGATGTAACAAAAAGCTGCAAAAAAAGATGATGAGGTGCTTGCATGCTGCTATGATCATAGAATCATTAAGGTTGGAAAAGACTGCTAAGATTATCTAGACCAAATGTCCACCTATCACCAATACTGTCCACTAAATCACATCCCTAAGTGCTATATCTACCCTTAAACACCTCCAGGGACGGTGATTCAACCACTTCCCTGGGCTGCCCTTTCTGGTGCCTAACTCCTCTTTTGGAGAAGAAATTCTTCCTAATATCCAACCTCCTCTGGCACAGCTTCAGGCCATTACCTCTCATCCTATCACTGATCCCCACCTCACCACAACCTCCTTTGCAGGCAGCTGTAGAGGGGAATAAGGTCTCCGTTGAGCTTCTTCTTGAGACTCAGCAAACCCAGTTCCCTCAGCTGCTCCTCAAAAGGCTTGTGTTTCAAACCCCTCACAGCTTCACTGCCCTTCTCTGAGAACCTCCATGTCTTTCTTGTAGTGAGGGGCCCAAAACTGAACACAGTACTTGAGGTGGAGCCTCAGCGGGGCAGAGTACAGGAGAACAATCACCTCCCTGCTCCTGCTGGCTGGAAAATCTCCAGTCCTCTGGAACATCTCCAGTAGACAAGGACCGCTGATGGATGGTGGAAAGCAACTTGGCAATCACCTCCACCAGCTCCTACAGCACCCTTGTGTGGATCCCATCTGGCCCCATGGACTTGAGACAGTCTAGGTGCAGTGGCAGGTCTCTGACTGTTTCCTCCTGAGTTGTGGGGGGTTTATTCTGCTCCCCACCTCAGACTTCCAGGTCGGGGGGTAGAGTACTCAGATGATAATCTGACTATTAAAGACAGATGTAAAACAGGCATTGAGAACCTCATCCTTTTCCTTACCCTCAGTGGTCATGTTTCCCACCACATTCAGTAAAGGATGGACATTCTCATTGGCCCTTAACTATTGGTACATTCGTAAACACATTTTTCCATTGTCCTTTACCA